TCGACGCCGCGATTTACGAGCCTGGATTCACCGCGATTTCGTTTCTTCCTGCTCCAGTAGACCTCGACGGCGGAACGGGTGGCGGTGTAACGAGGGGCTGCGTTTGACATTTCCATTCCGCGCCTTACGCCGGATTTGTTCGGAGCACCGTTCATAGCGGCCGGTATCCGGATTAACGGCTGCAACAGGTCGTTATGTTGTGCGCCGCGAAACACTGATATTAGATGAAAATCGAATCGCCCGCGCCGAGTGTCGGCATCGATCGGCGCGCGTCGCCGATTTGCGCGCCGTCGTCCTTTTACTGACGCGACTTATTGTTCCTTGTACATTTGAAGTATCAATGTCATTGATTTCGGTGATAGATACAGGTGTACGAAAATATTCGTTTTTGACGTACTGACGGAGTTGTGATCAATATAGTGCACACAAGATAACAGCAAATAGGGTAAACCTGTGGGCAAATATTTGTCGTGGTGCGTCTGTCTGCAAAATTATTGTGTCTATGTCATATTGCTTTGAATATAAGTATTATAAAAAAAGGGATATATGTGTTACAATCTAAAGAAAAGTCTTCAAGAAGTATTTAAGGACAAGAGAGTATTGCTACATATGTACGTATGTCGCTCCGGAATTTGGAGCGAATCGGATATTTCTCACTTTTTATTTTCCCCCTTATAAAACGAACGTATTTAATTTCAAAATTAACTTTAAAACTTCACAATTTTTTTACTGATATTGAAGCTGAATATTTATTAATAACAAATTTATGAAAAAAATTGTTCATTCTCAGTTTTAACTATTAGCTTTTCGCTGTCAAATCTGAACTGATCCGATGCGTTTCGGTCTACTCTGCACAAAGTGGTATTCGAATATAACAGCATAGAAGACGAATTTAAATTTTCAAAATTGTAAAGGACTTCTCGATTTCATCGAACGCGTGTCGCGGATGACCTCGTGTATTTGGGATATTGTTTATGTATCTCGTACCTTAGCGTTCAATGGATTCCATTTTACCAAATGAAATAATAAAAATTGCTGGAAAGAAACACAGTTAACGAGTATGTCACGTAACCATTGAATTTCCCTTCGCGGGAATAATGCTGTTTTCTTCAGCGTAACCGCTTTCCCATATGATATTCAATGGCGTATTCTTGTAATCCGCGGTGTATCCTTCAGAATGCACGCGACGTTCAATAAGGCCGGTAACAATCGACAATCTGCGAAATTTAGTGAGGCTCTTTGAACGCCCATTTGCACGACTGCTGCGTCTCCCGTTGTTCCCGCAGCATTAACGTTTACAATGTTCGTTGCAACACTATGCGCGGCGCGTTGCGCAAGACGGATACACCGTCTGAAATCCGCGGAGTATATACCGGGAGGGCACGTCTAATCTCGCGAGCTCCTCGTATATATCTCCTCGGCACGTGCAATTAGCGTACATTCGTATACACGTGTATTATCAACGACCATCGCCCCTGTCATTTCGTTTTCCAAGCATTGATTTATTGCCGCACGGTGGCAGGATAATTATTGACTGCCCCCGCCGGGGGACCAGCGGCGCTGGTACTTTTCCTTGCAAAATCCCTGATAACAATGCACCACCGGCTGGTTTGCATATAATACTGAGAAATTCATTTGTCCCGTAATATGATTCATAGTTCCTCCGTGTAATGCCATTGAATCGCAGTGTACATGATAATTAGACATCAATGGGCCGCGCTCGACCGATTAACAATTCAAATCAAGCAGACGTTCTTACGACTTACTTTGCATCAATTAGGCATAAAATATTGTTCTAATGGGCGGACCACCGGGCATACCCTGCAACATTTCAATGAATGCGATTCTCTTGCTGAAAGATAACCTGCGCCGTACCTCGTAGCGGGAGTTCCTACCTTAACATTGGAAATGCCGAGCATTAAAAGCGACGGGTGATGACTGGATGCTTTAGACAAGGTACGAGAGTCCTTTCATTCGGAGTTCACATGATTTTTATCGAGACGTGCGTACGAATAAATGAATTTACTTAACTAATCCCCACAGAACGATGATTCTCTACGTATATCAACTGACGCAAATTGTGTAAGTTAAAGAATCGCGAGTTGGAATATATTTTCTAGAAGGTTCGTAGAATCTTAATTATCTTGTTCTATTATAATTATTATGGTTTGTAAAACCGCGCGTGCTTAATACTTTGCAACATCTCCCGTCCAGTATTATCGCGACCGAGAACGTTAATAATATGTATCGCGACGATAGAGGGAGAGTGCGTGGTGATTCGTTGCGACCGCTTCATCGAAATTCCCGTAGCTCGTTTCTCCCGTCAAGTAATCGTCGCAGGACGTCGCTGGTATGAAAATCAAATCCTTTTCGCGCGACAGTCGGGCGGGGCCCAGAATGGGCCATTAAAACGTATTATGGAAGGCGACGAGCTTAGCAGTCACAATCCGCGATATTACGTATACTCGTACATGCGTTTTCGAGGCGCGAAACAAGGCGTCTAACGAGGCGTAAGGAGATGTCGGGCCCCGGGGTAGAAGCGCGTACAATACCATTCACATCGCTGGCCTGTCTGCTCGTGATATTCATCTGGAGTACACGTATCGACCAACGAACAGGCGTTTCAGAATCGTTGTGAAATAAAATGCGGCAGCGCGTACAATTGTCCTTAATAATATTTTACAAGGAAAACAATCGTTTATATTTGTACAGACACGTAAATCGATCTCCGATTTGTCGAAGAATCTAAAATTGAATGGATGCCCGAATTCGACGCGATCGTTTAAATCGTTTAACAGCTTGCAGATTATTTATATCAATTGGACTATGCATTTTTTCGTAGAATTCAATTTTGAAATAGTTATGAATCACGAAACTGGAGTGAAATTAATATTGATTTCCTTTACGTGGCTACTCAAGAAATCGATTCTTCTAACAAAATTATAGAATTATTGAATTTGAAGTACGAAGATACAATGTCTTGGAATAACCTAGTTCGGACGACACTCAGATATTCTTCCATTCATCGGCGGTCAGTTTCTAAACTAATCTTTTCTGAAAACATTGAAAAGTTTCAAATGCATATTGAAGCAGTATGAAATATGGAACATTCTATTAAAGGGAAGTCTCTCATTGGAATTCACTTACAGCATACATAAAAATAAATCAGTTATGTTCCAACTAAAATATCCGGATAGAAACAAGAGCTCGACGCTCATCCCGCAGAAATTATTCAGCTATAAGTGCAACGAACTTCGTCCATTGTTCGGCTCAGAATTATCCTGAAAATAAGAAAGTCCTGCAACACACGGTCCTGCAGTCCAAGCGTATCGAAACTTCGGCATTGTTCGCGACCGGTCACGGCTGCCTGGGAACAGGTTGCGAATCGACTGGCAATTTCAGGCTCGCGCGTGTGCGAGGGCCACGTACGCGCCAGTGGCACGCGTGACACGCATCTCATTGCGAATAGGTCACGGAGTTCGTAAGAATCCCGGCCGCTTTGCGCTTTATGTACGTTTATGGTGCGTGTACGGTGGAACGCGGGCCGGCAATGCATCGCCGCGTCCATGGGATTCCCCGTTGAATGCTAGCCGGGTCGCGTTACGGCATTTCGCGTCGCTATCGGTGCCGTTTGCCGTGGCACCGCGCCGCGGCCTGCTGTTAGGCGATGATGCACGGCACCTCTGATGTACGATCGGACTCGAGGTGAGGCGGTACATCATCCGGCACCTAACAAGAACGATAGAGAGCTTTTCCGCGCTCGGTGATTTATACGAGTCGCCGCAACCACGGGTGTCCGCGCCGTGTAATTTACCAACGAATTGATTATTCTTCGCGCCAGCTATCGACGTCTCACCACCACGTTGGATTACTGCGATCGGTCCGTTGCGCCTTCCTTCGATCCCCGTTCGATCGTGATTCCGTTCATTACCACGGCCGAGCGAACACCGATGCTCCATTATTTCACGCGTTCCGATGGTTCGCGCCGTCTGCCAGATGCAAATCTTTCATCAAGTCGAAAGTTTCCAATGTAGACGAACTTTTTCGAAGCAGTCGTTGGGACATTATTTTCTATCGAACAGTTGAACGAACCTATTCGAGCTTGTTTGATGTGTAATGGAATTAATATATGAACAAAAGCTTGGCACAGATCAGATTCTCGTATGGAATCTTGTAAATTTGTGAATCCTGACAGTTTTCGTCTCACTTTTTTGTAAAATATAACTTCGATTTTGAAGCGTGAATATAATTTAATTGAATATATTGTACAGTTTCGTAATTAAATAAAGTATCGCGAAGGGTAGATGAAAACGTGAAAATTATCAACGTATATGTAATTTTCGTATAAACGGATACTTCCACTCTTTGTGTTTATGTTTAAAGTATTACGGAAGACTCTAACAAGATACGATATACATATATTGAATAGCTCAAAAAGAGACGAAACGAAGTTCACTAATATGCAGTGTAATAGTTTTTTTATTATTTTCTGTATGCTATTCAAAGCGACACACCAGCATCAAAGAATTTGTTTTATACTGTTCATTAAAATAGCCCTTTGCGTATGTGAAACTAGAGTCTAGAAATCTATGCACATAATTCTCAAAGCGAATCTACACGAAATATATGAACACATTGCAACCACTCGTCACTATTTAATCCCCGAAAAACCACCGTATAATTTTATATTTCCACATTTAGTGTCATACGTTACAATGATATTATTTATTACATACATACAAGTATATATAATAACGTGTTGAAGGCAGTAAATTCTGTTATAAAATTATTCTTATTAAATTATAATGACTTTTTTCTGTGTTTCGCATATATTTTATTAATGTTGTATTATTTAATCGCAGGAATTCAAATATTAAAGGGCTGTACATTGCGAAGGACAAAAATATTGCCGGCAAATTAGTCGAAGCGTTTCCCAGCAGATGGCAGCATCGCCTAAGCACAGGCTCGCCGCCGATATAGTTTGGCGTGGTGGTGGGAGAAGCAGTATGGCGCAGAATCGCATGCACAGTCGATTGCACGACGTTGAGATGGTTTAGTGCCGCCTGTAACTTCGTGTTAGAAAGGTGAGCATTCAATGGTCAACGTCAACGAATTGGACGCCGATTCCATTTGTACAAAATGAGGTACGTTCCGGTTTTAATGGATTCTGACACGATTGTTCGCGAGCATGCTTTTATCGACCCAAGTCTTTGTTTCTGTAACCACTTTCATGTTACTCGTACGCGGGAAAGATCGTTTGTTTACGCCGACGTCTGTGATTACAAATAAATTTCGCAAAGAGGTACTCAAGAAGTATCTCAAGTAGTAATATTATTATACTAAAACAATTCGTTACATCCGTAATTACCAAAATTTGAAATGAATTACGATACTGTTCTTGTAGTGTATTGCTTTGCGTATTGGACTTCCATTCCAGAGGTCACAGGTTCGATTCCAAGTGTATTTCAGAATCTTTTTTTATCAAATTTTTCTTTACTTATTTATCGCTTATTTTACAAACATGGCGATATGTATACGGAAGTATTTAAAAAATTAACTAGATAAAATATATAGCAATTGAATTAGTTTGAAGTGTATGAATGTTTCACTGAAGATACCGCATCCAATTTAATCCTAATGTCGTATTTATTTGAAAATCAGAAATAAGACACGTCCAACCGCGAGGAAGTAATTGTCTACTTTAATTATAATAGACATTTAGTATGTCCGATATATTTCTATTCGTAGAATACATATCCAAGAACACAGGAAAACGATGAAATCGTAACAGCCGGGTCAAACAATTTTCAACCGAACCGCCATTCCGTGACAAAACCCGAAGATGCCGTTCACGGCCGATGCCGCGGCTAGCCAGATTCAGGAGCGGCTGAAGAATCTCTACCACCTAGTGCACGAGATCGAGACGCAGCGGGTGCGATCGGAACACAATTTGAACAACATCATAAAGACCTACGACAAGGTGACACCAGAGGACAAGGTGTCGCCCTACTACCAGCAGAAGCTGAAGAACTTGTACAGTGCAGCGGTGGGGGATGCCCAACAAGAGGAGGAGATTCTGCGCAAGGCGTTGGGAAAGATCAACGAAATTCGGGCGATCAGGAACGAGCGACGTATACAGGCCCGCAACGCCGGCAATAAAGAAACGATCAGGCGCGGTGCTCTGATGAAAATGTTGTTGAGCACCGCGCAGACCTTGCCGCTCTATGTAGGGAAGACGCCAGGAGCGAAACCGCCACCCCTCTGCGGAGCGATTCCAGCGGAGCCAACATACATAGCAAAGATGGGCGACATGGTGGCGGCCTTGGTGAAAGGATCCGAGGAAGAAGAGAACTGGATCTTAGCGGAAGTGGTACAGTTCAATCCCACCACGAACAAGTACGAAGTGGACGATATCGATGAGGAGCAAAAGGACAGGCACACTCTGTCGAGGAGAAGAGTGGTGCCACTACCGTTGATGAGAGCCAACCCAGAGACTGATCCCCACGCCCTCTTCCCGAAAGGGTCTATCGTGATGGCGTTATATCCTCAAACGACCTGTTTCTACAAGGCTGTGGTGAATCAATTGCCTACCACCGCCACGGAAGAATACGAGGTTCTATTCGAGGACGCGACCTACGCGGACGGCTACTCCCCCCCGTTGAACGTTGCTCAGCGTTACGTGATCTCGATCAAGGAGAGCAAAAAGAACAAGAGCCAATGTTGAACGATACCACTGCTACAGTATTATTACCCCAATTCTCGCGCTTGTTGCTGGTAGTACCTTTCGTTTTTATATCGTGGATGTTTATTGGAAATAAAGTTCATGATTTTCAACTGCCGATATGTTACTGTGGACATGGACAGAGGAGGGCAACACGGACGTAGCTATCCGAACCTTCTATTAACGCCGATCCTCAACTGAGAAACTTGGCGCGGATTCTGTTCCAATGTAATTATTCCGTTGCCACGTATCGGTATTTTTATCGGAACCGCGTGGATTGTCGTTAAGCTGGATCTCGTACGGCGATCCGGGAAATAAGCACGTACTGACAGTTAGGGCCCCATTTCCGCGATATTCCTCCTTCCCGGGGGGTAATTGGCGTACATTATACGACGATAATAGCGGCAGCCTTATACCATGCGGGTGGACCTTAACCTGGTCCCGCCTGACCTTTCGTGGAATCGGTTCTCCGTGACTGTCCGACCGGGCAATTTCTTCCTGTACGGAATAAATCTTCTCCTTCGAGCTAGCACGACGAAGACAGGGGGTGCGGAGGACGAGGGGTGGGACTGTGGAGGGAATAAGAGAACTGGTTTCGACGCAAGCGAGATTGAAAGGCGAAAAAGAGAGCGCGGAGCGAAAGAGAGTGCCGTTCAATAATTGATTCAATAATCGGTGGCTGCCGCCAGACATCAAAGAGACTCAGTACTCGCTTCGAACCTTCGACAGATAGGATGGCCAATCTTCGTTTATTATTTAGTCTAACTAGCCCTGCGTGAAATATCGTAAAAAACGCGACATTCGGTTTTTAACGTATCAACACGTACTTCATCGTCGAACACTTCGCCAAAAAATTGTTTCGGTTACTTTTAATCGCTTTCAGGAAAAATTATATGTGGATTGCGAGGGGAATAGACTAAGTGTAAGCGTGTTTGTTAACGACTTATGTAGATGTAAGAATTTTATAGTCTGCGCCTCTTATTTCTCTTGATGAAATAAAAAATGTTGGTGCTTACCTTGCTTTTATTCTTTCGCGATCGTTATCACGATATAGTGTAAAAAGCGTCATAACGTCTAAGGTATATTTTTAGAAGCTTAGATTAGTATTGCATTACTTTAAAGTTATATTCAATTTGGAAATTGCATGCACTTTTGAAATTCTGTATATAATTTTACTTCGTAGATATATTAAATATGTTTCCATCATGCGAAGTCTTTGTTACAGACACTTGTATGGAATATTGTAACGTATGCAGCATTTACTTCGATTTATGTTATATGAACTTGGGTAAGCTTTAGTAATATACACATAATTATAATTACCTGCCTCTATTTTCATGTCTGTATTTAATGTCTTCGCGTGAACTGAGCATTTTTCGGGATCATTTATTTATGTACAAATTTTAGAATAATCATTTGATTCATACTGAAATCTACTTATTAAGATTTATGCGTCAATTAAAAATCTCAGGAATAATGAATGACGATGATTATATGTATGTTGAAGTTTATCATTCTCTACTTGATAAATATAATATCATAAATCATTTGGTAATTCATGTTAATTTAAATACCTCGAACATTTTTACTTGTTGTTTAAGCATTTTTGCACAGCCAGTACTTCTCATTATTGGCTCTCGTTCGAATGTAAACTAAAGGAATTGAACACTTATGAAAATACTTGGCGCATGTACAAAAATTGAGATCGTTAATGAGAAAGATCTCAAGTCGTGTAAAATCGAATTACATATTCTGTTTTTCAATTAAAGGAAACTTGTTCGACCTCCTTCAAAAATGGAACTCATGCTTCGGGTGGTTCATAGTAAGAGTTCCTTTGAAGAAACGAATATGATTTGATCTTCCACAAAATTGTCTACGAAAAGCGACAATTCACCGTTTCATCGACAATGTTGGTGCTTCGGGGCAGCTTACGTTCTTCGACGACTCAAAGGCAAAAGCTATTAATATCGAGATTTTTCTTGGTCGAGGCGTCCAGAACTCATTACACGTCCTGCAAAAGTTCCGACAGTTTTCGAGGCGAAGTTGGATTAGACGTTGGCAGCTCGTTAGCCGGCCTTATCGACCTTTTCCTTGTGCCTGTACCATTGTGCGAGGCGTATTAATTAAAAAATGAAAATCTACGGGCTGTCCAACGCACGGGTCGCCGCGTAATCTCTTTTTCCGCGTTTCCTTTTCTCGCCCATACACGCTTTTCTCATCGGTTTCCGATTTCCTCTTCGATACCAGGGCCATCGGTGATCTAGATTGGTCTTATAAATGATACTACTTCGCGTGGATTAAATACGATTCCGACTTCTGCTCCCTTGAACGTGATAATTAATATGGAATCAGCCTTGCACTCGATCAGCTATATTTCTATTCGGTAAAAGCCGAGATCCTATCGATAACCATTGCAATATTGAAACTCTGAAGTTGGACACCGACGGGAGAAATCGGCCAGATAATACATTAATTTTAAAGTAGTAATCGCTCGGAATATTTCATGCAGCAGGAACAAATATAAATGGTTACATTTATTTTCATTTCAGAAACATTCCTATACAGCTTTTCTAATTAACGCGCACATAATGTTTGAACTCGAAAACTCGATGCCACCTTCAAAATTAAGTTTCCCAAACAACCGAAAACGTTGAAGAAAGGAAAACGACTTCCGATTACCATTCAGCACAGAATTTTGTGAAACCAAAAAAATATATAACTCTCGTCACTTCATCTCGCGGAACTTAAAAATCGTTATTAAAGGAGCGATTATTCGTCGCAAGCCGCAGCGCTTTCTATTTTAAAAATCAATCGAAGGCAACAGGGTCAGGCTGGAACGGGAAACTGACACCTCGTCGATGCATCCGCCCTTCCATTTATTGGAAGAGAGACTAATGGTCAGCGCGCGAGGGTTTCGCGTGATGGCGGAAAATCAGCCGGACGCGGTGACAGATACCCGCGTCCAGATCGATTAGTCCGCGAACGAAATAAAATATATTCGCGGGAGCGAGCAGCCGCTGGAATTATCAACGTTGAAGAAAAATACCCCATTATCGACGGTTAGAGGGAGCCTGTGCTCGATCGGTGAAGGGGATACAGGTAAAGAGTACAAGGGAGTGTACGAGGGAGAATACATTGTGGTGAAACGGTCGAGAAGAAGTATTACTCAGATAACCGAGAACGTGGAACGAATGAACGAAGGGAACAAGCCCAAACGAGCAGAAACGACGCAGTGGGCGGCAAGGAGAAGTTTCGTCCGTACGATTCAGGGGTTGGAAAGAACGGCTCACGTGCCGGGACCCAAGTTCGCCTTGACTTCCGGTGGCTTGCATGCCTTGGAACCACTTGTACTAAGCTGGCCGTGCAAACTTAGGTTCGGTTACGCGAGCTCGCACTACCATAAAACGCTCGAAACGCGTTTCCGATGAAGCCGCCGTGTATGCACGAAAATTACTTTTGTTAACCGGTGGTCCGTATTAATTCCTTCCCCTATGATTTCTTTCTCATCTATGATCCATCAGACTACTTTGCCATTGATAATTTCTTGAAAGAAAAGAAAAAATTCTAGGAATATTCTATGTCTATGTTTACTTTACAGTATATCAATCGATTAAAGAAGTATATTTAATTTGAATTAAAAAGAATTGATTTATGTTTACAAAACTCTATTTGAAATCTTCACCACGAGCCTGTCATGTTATTGTTTTGTTGTTAATTAAACAAGGTATGCGGCAGAAGTATTTTTCGCTTGTAAACGGCTAACACCCTTCATACACGAGCATGTATTTTCAAAATGTAATTGATATATAATAAAATGTAATAATATTTCAGTATCATCCAGCGATTCTTCACGTTAAGAATATAACAGGCCCGTTAGATTGAAAGCTTTCGTTGTATAACGATACCAAGCCCTCTATTTATCGGATTCGAATTTTTCGTTCCGATACCGGCGGACAAAATAAATTAGTTTCAGCGAGGATGCAGTACAGCGCGTTCAAAGCAACTAATTCAGCCGCTTTGCGTTGGAATAATAGAACGGCCGCGTTTCGCCAAAATGTGGGGTAATTGAATGCACCGTCATAACGATCTGTCAGCCGTTCTGCACTGCCAGCGTCAGAGGCGAGCGGTTCTTTTATAGAAACGCCGCTTTCGACGCGGACAATTTATTATGTTTTTTCGGCGTCTGGCTCGGTATTAGGCGGAAAAGGTGCGTTGTACTAGAGGGGGATGATTTCTGATCATCTATTTCAAAGAGGCATTTGTCTTTTGTCGGTCCCGATAGCCCGATCGTCAGAGAACATATCCCGTTTGAGGAAGTGTTGTGGGCATGAGCCGCAGAATCGCGGGTGGGGGTTGAATAATTCATAGGCGGGCATATTGCCGTTAATTAATTGCGTTTGCCAATGAAGGCGGGGCAGTTTAAAATTTCCTTCATAATTCAGAACCGTAATCGGTTATCGCGATCGTTATCTCGTGACACAGCACGATCGTCTCGGAAATTAGCGTACGGTTTTTACGACTTTCTGGCGAAAGAATTTTAATTTCGTTGTTGCCGAATGATGCCGTCACGTGCTGCGCGTTCTTGCGCCATTATCGTTCGACTGTGACGCGTTTCGATAGAGATTTATAATCGCTGACGCAGCCGTGCCGATGCAATCCGGAGCGAAAGGCATGGAACGCTTTTCTTTCGACTTTCCTCTGTAAATTATTTCCTTGAAAATCGTCTCTTGAATTTCCTTTCGATTCATTTTTCGATCGAACGTTCTTTTTTTGACAGAAAGAAGAGTTGAATAGCGTACTGATTTCATTCCACAGTTTTTAGTTCTGGCTGATGTTATTCCTCTTTTAGATTAACAAACTTTCCGTATTTCAATCTGCGAGTCGCTAGTTTGCGCGTATGTGTGTGCACTAGGAAACCCGGCCAGCCGTCACGGAGACCGATGGCCTTTCGAGAAGTTACTTATTTCTGCACCATGTCCGAGGTCTCAGTGGGTCAGCGAATGCGTCCAGCTTCTCGCGATGATTAATTTTGAGTTCCCATCAGGGATATTAGTTTTTAATGCACGATCGTTGTCCTGGGAATTATAATAATTAGCTTAGAGCTCGTCGAGCCAGCTGGCTCTGTCGCTGACTCAACCTCCCAACTGTGTCGTCCGTCAAGTTATATACTGATTCCACTTGCTGTACCGCAAGGAGCTTACCATATGCTTGCACATTTGCTGAAATGTATTTTCACCTCGGATATTGAAACAGAGAAATACAATATTTCTACGTCTCTGTCTATGAAAATTCAGGGATCCTTGAAACAGCAAAATTTGGCTTACACAATTCAATCGAGTTATATTAACTACTACAATTTCCTCCACAATCTTTTGTAAGAGAATCAGTGTAAAAATATTGCCAGTACCATTTTATTTTTTCAAAGCTATGAAAACTATGTATTTTTCAAATACAATAGATTTCACATTTTAAACAACACTTATCTAGTAATTGTGTTGTACAAAAAATATTGAAAAACTTTGACGATTCACTATTGTCCGAAACGTTTATAATCCCTTGAATCACGTAATTCCGTTCAGAACAAACACAAGGAGGGAACGTGATATTCCACGTCTCCGGAGATGTCGAAAATTCTTCACGCCTCCATCCCGCTCTACTTATCGAGTTCGCGCGGATAGATCCCAGCGAAATCATAATACGTCTTCCGTTACTGGCACAACGGTGCACGAAACGATACGCTGTTTTCGCGCGAACCTATGCATACGAATGCACAAGCTTCAAATGACCGTGCGACGGTACTGTGTCGCGTACGTAGGAACTTCGGTCACGTACGGGTCTCTCGGGCGTGCAGGGTTTACACCTCGAACGAACACACCGCGTGTAAGCGAGCCGAGTTTCTCGACCTGCGGGTTTCGCGGGCGGTTCCTTTGTGCCTGACGCAGAAACTCGAACGTGGAAGTCGGTCCACAAGCTCCGCGCGCGTCAGTGTCCTATCAAATAGAAGGCGCGATTGCAGCTCAGCAGCGAAGTAAACGGTAAGGTCTGTCTTCCGTACACCTTCCCCGGTAACATACGCGAGCGACACTGTTCCATTATTAAACGGGACCCGTGCAGATACATTTTCTCCATTGACAGCCGCGGCAAGTGTGTTCCAGGCTTGTTTGCCTCGAGTGCCAAGGAAGTTCGCGCCAACTTCCGCGAATATAATCCACGATACTTTGTCACGCGTTCCGCGAAATTTATTTACAGGCGAGACGGAGGGGCTGCGCGACGCGACGGTGCGACGGAATCGATATTGAAACAAATCGGCGGACATCCGTCGCACGGTAACAAGCATTAATACCAGTAGGGGTGCGTGGCACGGACGATTCAATCCTTAGAAATGGCCGTGATATTTCATCGCGAGGAATGCCAGCGATCGATCATCCCGAGAAAGGTAAAGAAAGAATTATCGTGAATCTTCCGGCCGATCTTGACACTTCATTTTACTCGACCGTTTCGCGAAGCAGCGCAAGAATGTAACGAAGGTTTATTAATCATTGATTTATTGGCCATGCTTTCTGTCTCTCGAGTAATTTGCGGATTACTCCTTGTTCGTTCTGACTTCAAGGGTTATCGTTTAATTTT